AAAAGAAAATAGTCCAAGAAACAGAATCTAGAGACGCCAGGTCTTTGAGTGTTTGACCATATTTCCCTAATAAGACCTACTCTTCCTCCAAGCCAGCAGCCCTGGCACCACCACCTCAGGAGTGCAGGGTCTTGCACAGTGCTCCTTGGGGCAACCCAGGCCTTGTATGCCATTCAGAGGGGCTGACAAGCCAAAGCCACCGTGGCCCTGCCCAGAGGTCCCACCCCACGCCACTCAGCATCTCTAACACACCAACCAGCCCTGCAGCACATACAGGCTGCCACTGCCACATGTCTAGGATAAAGGGATGTCATTACACCTCTGGGCATTGGGCAAAGAGCTGAGGACAGGGTAGGCACTCAATCATATATCCTGGATACAGCCAAGATGATTTTACCATTTCTTTCATGGGAGGCAGAGAGAAGAGGGGTCAGATAATTGGGTTTTAGAGAATGTAAATAGTAATCTCAGCTAACATATTATGTGCTCACTACATACATGGATTAATTCACTTAGTTCTCACAACAGTCATAGGAGGTAAATATAATTATTACTCCCATTCTGATAGGGAAACTGATACAGGTGGTAAGTAGTAGAACCAGGATTCAAATCAGAGCCATTTGACCACAGTGTCTCAAAGCTTAAACCTCAGTGCAGACTCCATATAACTGCCTTTTGGACACAAGACCCAGCTCTCACATTTGTTGCTCTGATATACCTAAGCCTCAGTTTCCCCATGTGTAAAATGGGGATAATAACAGCAGCCACTTTCTTGGGTTCTGGGAGGAGTCAATGACATCAGGGGCATTGGTCAGTATCTGGCACATTGTAAGTGCTCAACTGACTTGACTTAATAATTAGTTATTCTTACTTTAATATTATAAAATAGCATTTTCCATCAAGCTCTAGACTTTTTAAATACTTTCATTTATCTTCTCTGAGCCTCCAAGGAGGCAGAATAAGTGTCAGATTATTCCTACTTTACAGTTGAGATGTTGCGGTCCAGAGAGACAAAGGTACAATGAGTATGGGACAGAGCTGAGGGCTCCCTCCACCATGACACCCCTCCCAGCCACCAAATAAGGACCTATGTCCACCCAGAGCCACACCCCTCACCTCCACCCGGAGGATGTCATCAGCAGGGAGGTCTTCCACCTTCTGCTCCGTGTGCTCTGCCAGCTTGGTCTCCAGAGCAAGCAGAAGCCGGCCTCGGTAGGCCACACCTTCCCCCTGCAAGGAAGGTCAGTCAGGTCACTAGGGCAGGGGAGATGGAGAAGAGTAGGAAAAGAAAAGGGGAACTTCTAGCCCTGAAGTAGCTCATCTCCCAGAACCCCAGCAGGTCCCTATGCCAACTTCATCCCTCTATGGGTGAAGAAAACAGGCCTCCAAAAGTCCACAGGATATGCCAAACCACTAGGCCATCTGGCCCAGACCCCCACCCAGCCCCAGGGGAGATGAAACCTGAGAGAGATGGGGTCTGGGTACCTCAGGGACTGGGAAAAATGAAAGGATCAAACTGGCCTTGAGATAGAGTCAAGGTGAAAGAGGGTTCTCTGAGGGGATGACTGCCTGTCCCTGGGCCCACCCTTGGAGTTTAGGCCCTCATCAGACCCTTGGAGTTTAGGCCAGGCCCAGACACTGCTCAGGCCAGACTGAAGGATCCCCACATGCAGGCCTGAACTCCTGAGCATTCTAGGGATCTGAAATCCTGCCCCAGCCAGGGCTCCAGCTGGCTCACCTTGCCCATGTTGAGCTCTCCGTAGGGGTCCGGGAAGCCAGTGAATTCCCTGGGGCTGCCATAGAGGTTGACATAGCAGGGCCCAAAAGTGGGGAGGAAGCCCAGATGGTCATCCACTGGGAGACACAAGCAGGGATCAGAAGGATGGCCCAGTGGGGCTTTCCAGTACCCAACCCAGCCACCTTCAGACCTGAGCCCATCCCTGACCTCAGCTCCCCCTACATGCACCAGAGGCAGCCCCTGTAAATGAATAAAGAATGATGACACTAATGATAGCTCTATCACCCACAAGTCTCTATACTCCTTACTACTATGCTGAAATGTATTTTTATTAGTCCCATTTTATAGTCCCATTTTACAGATGAGGAAACTGAGGCTAAGAGATGCAAAGAAATACACAAAAAGGTGGCAGAGCCCAAACTGGGATAGCTTCAAAGCCTATGCACTCAGCTAGCATGCTTAGTTGGAGCACTGGGCCTTCCACTGCCCCTCAGCCCTGAATCCCCTCTGTATCCAGCACTGTCCCTGCACCTCAGACCCTCCAGCCAGTGTGGAGCACCAAGCCTGGTAAGCAGAGAAGCCATCTCCCAGGGGGCCAGGGAGGGGCCCGGAGAGATGTTCCTCCCCCACAGCGCAGCCCCCTACATGCCTCATGTCCTCATGGCCTTGCCTCCTCCCTTCCACACACACATTGTTCAAAGAAGTTTTTTAGTGGAGCAGGTTAGAGGAGAGTTAGAGAGAGAATTACACTAATGAAGAGGGAAAATCTTTTCTCTACATCATTTCCATCCTTTTGGAGGCTCTCTTTTGTTAATATCATTTTCTAGCTCACAGCTGAGTTTCCCAGATGGGAATTTACTGGCCATATTATGAAAACCCTAAAAAGTTGGGGTCTCTTTTTCCAAGGAAGGGAAAAGAGGATGTCTCCAGAATGCCAAAGGTGGGAAGTAGGGCTGGGAACGGGAACCATCTGGGATGACCCACTCCACACAAGGATGGACCAAAGTAAGTACAAAATAAATGGCCTCGGGAAAGAAGTGCTTAAGCCAGATTTAAGGCCATGCATTGAGTCTCCCCCGATCCCCCTGTTGAGACCCCAGGGATGACAGAGGGACAGGGATGGTGGCACCAGAAGGCTAGAGCCCCTCCCTTTCAGCCAGGAGTCCTCTTATGTCCTTCAACACTTTCCCTCTTCCAGGCCCCAGCACAGACGGGGCTCTGGCTTTGTGGACAGAGGTAGGAAGCCCAGGCAGATGGAACTAGCATAAACATTACTAATTGTTTGAATTAATCATCTCAATTATGATTTACCTTAGGAATTTCATCTTCAAATGTTTTTAACTCCCCCTGGCCTCCTCCCCTGTCCCAGAGGCACTTCACATGCTCCCCGCCCCACTGTGGACCCCATGCCTGTTCCAACCCCTCACTGCCAGGCAGAGCATCAGCCAAAGCCTAGCAGGCTAAGGAAGGGTTTAGAGAGATGAGAGGAAAGTACCCTTCAAGCATTCCAAACAATTTTCATATCCAGCCGAGGTTGAAAGGTAAGCTCAGGGACCATGGGTGACTCTCAGTCCCACTTCAGGCAAATCAAAACCTTCCTCACCTCCAGCACCCTCTCCCCTCCAGCAAAAACCCCAAGGGCCCACTCCCCTAGTCGTCCCCAAGGTGACAGCAACGTACGGTCTGTGGCGTGCGAAGGCTTGACCACACCTGCAGGCTCCTCTGAAGCGTAAAGAAATGGAAATGGGGTTAGGAGAGGCATGGCTGGGTTACATGGACGGCTGTGAATGGAGAGTTGGCAGAGAGATGGCAAGACAGCTTGTGTGGCAAATAGCTGTGCCCAAGGCCCCAGCCCCAGGACATCTAGGAACTCATCACAAATTAAATCTTCCCCAGCCCCTCCCCAGCCAACACAGACCCCAGCACCACGGGAGCTGCAGGTTTACCCACTTGATCAGTCCATCCCTCTGGGTGCTCTGTTTGCCAGTGGAAAACTGGGCCCCAAACTTGAGTCAATATATTCGAGAAATAACACAGAAAAGAAAATGTGCTTTTCCATATTATAGCCAGATAAGTGAGGGAAACAAAGTACAGACACGAAAGAAACATGAAAGGGCCAGAGCTGGGCAGCAGACACACCCCGAGCTCCAACCCAATTGGCAGCTTGACAGGACCGAGTGCCTGAGCTGGGGCATTTCAAGGCACAACATTTCCACCTCGTGGCCATGTCCAGGATTGTCACTGAAGGTACCCTGTTGCATTTTTACAACACCAGGCACTGGCATATGGCTCTTGGCACATGCCACTTCCAGTGAAACACAGTGCCAGGTGCTGTCCACTCGCTGAAGGCTCTATGCACCTGGCTGTGCCCCTCGCTGTTGATAATGATATCTAGAGATGAGAGGCACGAGGAAAGAGATGCTCTGCACACTTCAGGCTCTTGGAATTGGTTCCTCACTTCTAGGCAGGTATAAGATACCCCCAAGTGAGTGGATACCCTTCCGCATTCCTCCACTCTCCTCTCTGATTCCCGCCTCTTCTCAAAATCTGCCCTTCCTTACTCCTCCTCAGACCAGCAAAGAATAACCAAGTCTGAGGTCTTGACCAGGCCTGAGGATGTGGTTGGTCAACTTGCTGATTATTTTCATCCATTTCTCACCTTTACCTATTGTTCTCCTTCTAGAAAAGATGCCTTTTCTTATCTTCCCTTAGTTTCATAATTGTAGTTGAAAGCCAAGAGTAGAAGGAAACATTATGGAGGAAGAATGAGCAGAGACACAGAGAGAAGAGTAAAGAAGAGAGAAGGAACTGTGGACATCTGGAGATGAGGACAGGGTCAAACAAGTGCAGGCAGAGGCAGCAAAGAGGTCCAGGCCCAGCCTCTTAGCTCTCCACAGCCAGGCCTCGCTACAGATGCCGGCTGGCAGAAGTCATGGCTGCAGACATCACAGTTCATGGCCATTCTCATATCTACAGGAATAGGCTTTCATCCGTGGGAGAAACAGGCCCCTTTCTGTATAGTGAGGGGATGACACAGGCCCAACTGCTGCCCCATGGAGAATGGTGGCCAGAGATAAAACAGATTCCATTTTTAAATCCTTCCAAGTGATTACTAACAGGCCTGGTCTGTTATCTGGGGCTAATGAGGCCAAGGTCCTAGTTCTGAACCCCATATGCTTCTTATAGAGGCAAACTCAGCTTCCCACCCATACTAATATTAAATCCTGACCCAGCTCAGACATGGATATCCCCTTGATCCCACCAGCCATTTGACCAACACATGCCTCTGGTGGCCAGGAGGACCAAGTGGGTGGCTGTGGAATAGCTTATTTCTCAGCTGTATCTTTTCAATAATTCACCCCTACGTTCATTCATTAGTTCATACAGCAAAACCAAAGAGCACAGTACTGGGACCTCAGAGTGTGTAACACATGCAAGACATGGCCCTGCTGACATCTTCTGCCAGTGATTCCTAACGTGGGGTCACAGGTTAGTGGATGTTGAGGCCCATCCAAGTTCTCTTCCCTGTGTCTGCAGACAGCTCATAAAGTCAAGGGCAGAGTGACCAGTGAAGCAACCCAAGACAAAGCCTCTATTTATTCCTCACCACCCTTCTGCCAAAACACAACTGTTTTGGTGTGTTTTCTCTAAGCCCAGGGAACCCAAGCTGTGGAAGCCCCAAAACACATATGAATACTCCCAGTTTTGTGGCCTGAGCAATGAAGCCCAACTCCCTCACCTGGAGGAAGCAGAAGGCAACTCAGAGCAGGACCTCCCAGCCCAATGAGCCACAAGTCACAGCCCTGCAGACAGGCCCCGGGACACACATGTCTCCTGGAGAAGCTGAGACCACCACCTGCGGCCAGCCATGCCAGCTCCCTCTGCCTCTCGGCACACCCCCAAGCCCATGGCGGCTGGCTGCCTGACACCAGCCTGCGCCAGGTAGGAGGAGAAACTGAGCACTGCTGGGAAATCAGCATCATCTGCATTCCAAAGACAAAAAGAAACCAACCTTGGATTTCTGAGCCGTGGAAAAAACTATAGGATACAAGTGCTATTCACGCAGCACGAGTTTCCTATGTATAAAATTATTCAAAGAATCTGCGTAGGTTTCACAGGTCTTCTGTGCCTGTTACTTTATGAAAGACTTGCAGCTTCTAAGGTAAGTGCTCCTTTTTAAAAAACAAAATTTTTACTTAATACTTTGGAGCACAGGGTCCAAGGAATACTTTTGCGTGCCCAGGCAAACTTGCGGGCAGAAGTGTTTAAGAGGTTAGTGTTAGGTCTTGTCCCCACTGGAAACAAAAACAAAAACACAAAAACAACTCCTGGTTGGACCAAATAATCTGGTGAACCCTGAGGCAGGGGAACGTAGAGAAAGAACTTATTTTTACAGTTCAGTTCCATTCGGGATTTGAGAGCCGTGAGGAATAAAGCCTTGTGCATCACTTAGATGTGCTAGAATCTGCCAATGTGGAGAAGAAAACATAAAAGAGCTGAGGGAAAATCGTAGTGCCATGATCTGAGGGAGACAAGTTCAAGGCTTGACAGGAGCAAGGCAAGTGCTAACCTCAGGGCCAGAGAGAGGCTCCAGCTGCAGAGAGGGACCCACCTCCGTGGAATGGGACATCAGAGAACCTAAGAGTCATAAAGAGCAGCTCCAGATGGATGAACACAGTTAACTCTTTTATTGTCACATAGATCAAGCTATTTAACTGCATATTCAAAACTGTTTAACTGGTTGCAAGAAGATTCTCATTTCCAGAACAATCTGTGAGAGGTGGTCCCGCCTCTGAATGCCTCCCTGAAGCACGCTGGGTTGCCCATGACCTGAGCGCCATCTAGTGGCCATATAAACTTCCTCCCCTATTAAAATACTATTCATGACACAGAAAAAGATGAAAGCTAACATCACCCCAGAAACGAAGGCTGAGAAGAGGAGAAAGGAAAGGTTTAAACTCTCCTCCTGATGGCAGGCAGGGCTGTAGCCTTTATCAGAAAACAGAAACAGAGACTGTCAGAAAACAGTCCTAAATGTCACATTCTCCCTCTACCTGAATTCAGAGACAAGGACAGCAGCAGTCAGAAAACTGAAGAAGAGTTTCCTTCTATACCA